TGGTCTCTAGACTTGTTCTAGTGTAGCTGAGGACCAGCATCATCAGTGTCACCTGGGAGGTTGTAGAAATGAAGACTCTCAGAGCCTCCCCCAAAGCTACTGCATTAGAGTCTGCATTGTTAACAAGCTCCCCGGGGAATTCATTTGCACATGAAAATCTAAGAAACACTGCTCTAGAGAACACAGCGTAAAATCTGAACAACAGCAAAGATCAACCAGAAACACAAGGCTGTATACACTAATATAGATATTACTCTAGGTTTAAAGTGCTTGTCCCTTATTCTCTTGGACACTCCATATAATCTAAAGCATACAAATCATTCAATGAACCAATTCCATGCTCATATAATTTCTAAACAAATCTGAAAGACTTGCAGAGTCTAAATGTTGTTTCTAATTCTTGCATTTATAACTGTAATTTATAAATAGCTTCTTGCCCAGAACTATTTTATTTCCAACAATTTATATTCATTTATGTTTGTGAAAGTATGTTTTTTAATGAAATAAAGGTTTCCTTCCATTTAGTGCATATAGTCTTAGATAATTTAGTTCAAATCTATAACTTTATTTCCATATGTTGCTAGAAAGAAGTATCTTTTTCTTAGAACCAATCACAGTAAAAAAGCATAATGAAAACTATTTTATGTTGTATGTAACTTTCTGTACTAAGTATGCTTTCTACTGCCTAGGCTAGACTTTCTTAAGAGCTTAAGAGAGTTAATTTGGGACCCCCAAAAGGCTTCCTAATATGATCTGTGCTCTGTTCTAACCTACTTACAAGGAGGTCATGTTTCGACATGTCTCACTATACAATTAAGCCAGTATTCGAAGAATATTATTATGCCTTTGAGCAATGGCTTTTAGTATAATAGGTCTTTTAAATGAATTATAGTTAAATTTTTCTTTTTTAAAAATAAAATTTACAAAATGTTTATGCATCTTGAATAATACATTTCTAGGACTTAAGTCAGTTAAGTCCTAATTTCATAAAGCATAGTGTTTCACCACTAAATCCATCTTACTTAATTCATACTTCCTACCCTTCTCTTCCCTGTCTTTTTAAATATTTAATTATATCATCATCTGAATCTATACTAGTAGCAGATATTACCTGGTTGCCTAACTGGCATCCAGTTCCCCTCCCTTCCTGAGAATACCTCTCCCCAATTGTACATTAGCATGGTTTAGACAGGCTAACTACACTTTCCTCTAAGGAGTTGAGGCCTTAAGTACACCAAGCCAATTAGGGTAATTACTACTTATTGTAATCTGGCCAAGGGTAGTCTAATCAGATAAAACCTCAGGATTTTTCATCCATTGTTGTGGGAAGTAAACATCTCCCTGTAAGTATGTGAAAACCAAGTGGCTTCTAAATGCTGAGGGTAGCAACCTTGCAACCAAGAGGAAAATCAGCACGAGAGGAACCCCACACAGGGAGGAAGGTAAGCCGGAGAACTAATGGTTATAGAACAAACTACTAGAACTAAAGCTATCCTACTTCTACTTTTCTATTGAACAAGTAAATAAACCTTTGTAGTTTAAGTATCAAATTGCTTTTCTGTTGCCAGCAACCAAAAGCATTCTGAGGAACCCCACAGGAAAGCATAACAAATGTTCAATATGCCACTTCACAAATTTATGTTTAACTGCCTCTGCTTGTTCCTTAATTCAAATTAAGATGTGATAAATGTTTATTCCTACAACTTAGAAAAAGCTGAAATAAGACCTCTCTCAGTATCCCACACTCTTTGCCATTTTAACAGTTGGCTAAAAAAAGTTACATTTTAAGAAAAGGTTTTAACAGACATCTACTTATATGCTTGAGATTACTTTAATTTAAAATGTTAAATATAGGGAAATCAAAGCTCTTTAAAGCCTTTTACTCCAAATGAAACAAAGTGGAAATAAATTTAAACACCCACTGTAAATTAAAATGTAAATACTAATTATGGGTTCTTTTTAGTTTCTAGCACATAGTAAGGAACATAGTATGATTTGTGGACACCTAAAACGTACCAAACAAGACGTATACAACAAACTGGATGAGCCAAATGTAAAAAATTAAAAGACAATAATATTGCTCAGTTGGTGTGGCTCAGGGGACTGAGGGTTGTCCCATAGACTGAAAGGTCTGAGTTTGATTCCAAGTCAAGGCACATGCCCGGGTTGCAGGCTCGATCCCCAGTGGGGAGCGTGCAGGAGAAAGTCAATCCATGTATCTCTCTCACATTGATATTTTCCCCCTCCCCTCCTCTCTCTCTAAAAAATCAATAAAAACATATTTTTTTAAAAAAGATAATAATGTTGAACACAGCCTAATGACAAAAATGGAGAAAGTATTAATACCTCAACTAGAGTACAAATTAAAATATTTTTAGCTACCTGGTCTTTTTTAATCAGGGACCCAATTGATCTACTGAACTATACAGTTCCAACATTTTCTCCTTTTTATTTCTATATACATCAAATCATTTTTTTTTTAATCCTTATCCGAGGACATTATTTTTCCTTTTTTTTTTTTGGTTCAGGCAGAGCCGGAGGGAGAGAGAGGAAGAGAGAGAGACAGAGAGAGAGAGAAACATTGACATGAAAGGGACACATTGAATGGCGGCCACCCGCACAACCCAACCAGGGCCGGGGACAAACAGCAACTGAGGTATGTGCCCTTAGCGGGAACCGAACCCAGGTCTCTCTGGACCGCGGGCCGACACTCTAACCGCTGAGCCAAACTGGCCAGGGAAAATCATTTTTGACATTTGACTAGTTTTGCCTTTTTTAAAGTTAAACTTTCTTTTGGGATAATTACAGCTCACACAGTTTTGCCTCTTTAAAATTAGAGATACATAATAATAAATATATTCTCCAAGAATAACATACTGGTTAAAAAGTAACACCAGCATATCAAATCATCAAAAGTTTAAAAAGTCCCTGGCCAGTTTGGCTCAGCAGTTAAAGCATCAGCTCATGGACCAAAAAGTCGAAAGTTCGATTCCAGTCAAGGGCACATACTTCAGTTCGGTCCCCAACCCTGGTCGGGGTCGTGCAGGAGGCAACCAATTGAAACACATCGGTGCTTCTTTCTCTCTCTCTCTCTACCACTTCCTCCCACTCTATCTGTAAAGAAATGGAAAAATATCCTCAAGGGAGGATTAAAAAAAAAAGTTTAAAAAGAAATAGCCCAACCTATTTTTTTCCTCACTAAAAGAACATATATTTCATGTCAAGACATTATAGAGAAAAAACTAGATAGGTAAAAAGAAAATAATGACAATCTCATGCATTCCTACTACTTGTTGATATTTCCACCTAGGTTTTCTGTTTGTTTTATTTTTTCCTGTGTGTTGTATGGGGAGAAGAGAGGAGGCAGTTGTGGTAATAACCCCACTAAAATATATAAATAACCTTTACTCAAGAATAAACTGTATATTTAGGAAACACTAATTAACAGTGTCAATGCTCATGAAATTCACAATTTGATAAGAATACCATCTAAAAAAAATTTTATTGTTATTGATTTTAGAAAGGAAAGGAGAGAGAGAGAAACATCAATGAGAGAGAACATCGACTGGCCGCTTCCCATATGCCCCTACTGAGGATCAGGTCGACAATCTGGGCATGTGCCCTGACTGGGAATCAAACCAGCAACCTCTTAGTGTATGGGTGAATCAATACTCAACCACTGAACCACACCAGCAAGGCTACATTAAGAGCTTTGGGGAGTAAGAGCATAATTTCACCTCATACCATGATACAGGTGCTCAAGATCCAAATTGGCATCCACAGGAGAAAGAATCAAAACTCCTAAATGGGAAGCCTTTAAGGACACAGTAGAAAGAGGCAGTAGTAGGAAGTGGTAACGTTATTAGAATGACACCTGAGTGGTGTACCACTGTTATTTCTCAAGGAACCAACATGTTTTCTTAGAGCAGGCAGTGAGTCAAGTTTCCTTGGCACCAACTTAGAAAGGCGCCCTGGCCAGTTTGGCTCAGCGGTTAGAGCGTCAGCCTGTGGTCCGGAGAGACCCGGGTTCGGTTCCCGCTAAGGGCACATACTTCGGTTGCAGTTTGTCCCCGGCCCTGGTTGGTCGTGCGGGTGGCAGCCACTCGATGTGTCCCTTCACATCGATGTTTCTCTCTCTCTCTCTCCCTCCCACTCTATCTGTACAAAAAATGGAAAAATATCCTTGGGTGAGGATAAAAAGAAAAAAAAAAAGAAAGGCAACTTCTTTGTTGCTTATATGTTAGTGTAATTATGTTTTTATTAAACCTCAGTTACCATTATTGTAATAAATCCCACATTTTCAAAAGTGAAAAAAACAACATATATATTCAAAAGCATCAATAGGCCATAATGCTACATGGTACTAGATTAAACTTTCAGTTACTTTGCTCTCATTACAATCACCACTGGCAGTGAATTGGAGATACACTAAAAATGCTGTTTTAAATTCCAAAAGAAAAGGACAAAATTTTATAGGAAAATGTAATGGAAACTTAGCAATCTAAGCTCTTCTTGAGGAATTTAACCCTCCACTTTAGAGTCGTTAGTCCTACAGCTGTAGTTCTCTCCTTTCACGTATACCCCACACTTCTTGAACTCCTACAGCACTGAAAAGGCTTTACCCAGGAAATTTCGTGTGCCATAACAAAATGTCATCTTATTTACAGGGGCTTTACTTTTTTATAGGATTCCATTCTCTGACTACACAGTCACTACCTTAGGGTCAGAAGTAGGCATGTCGTGGTTTCTGACTGATTAGGTCTTGGATGCCTATGTAAGTCATGTAATTCTAAAGTCAAAAACCAACAGTCTATAGTACAAAGTATGACTTACCACTCAACACGATCCTTAGAAGAATAATGACCTAGCATTTAAAAAAATGTTTTGAAATTAATTTAAGTATTCTTAAAGAGAAACCTCTCTATGAGAAACAAAAGAGGCAAAGTTCTTTGATTAGCCAAAAGAACATGCCCAAACAAACAAAAACCCCCACAATTTACCTCGATAGTAAGCCTTTGTTATTGCATCAAATTCCTCTTGACCTGCTGTATCCCATAACATTAATCTGACATCTTCGTCATTAACTCTGAAACAAGAGATAAATTTCTTATGTAAAGGAAATGTCTTTAGTATATAGATTTGCGTACATTTTTATTTTTCAAATTTGGAAGTATTAAAACAACATTGTTGTTTTCACTCTGAAAAAGTCTGAATACTCTTAAATGCTGATACAATGACCAAAGTGAAAGACATTCCCCCAAAGCTGTAATTTACACATGATTTGGATTTACCTGGCACGTTTTACCCTTTGACAACAGTCACAATTACTGGCTGTGCTAAGACAGCAGTTCTGGGAAAGAGGAATTCCCTCAGGTCAGGGCTTGCTCTCCTCTCTACTCCATTCTAATGAGTTCTGGGGCACAAGTGATAGAAGAAGAAAGGAGAACAGCAGTTTACCTTTGATTTTAGAAAGAAACTAAATCAAATGAAAAATTTACTCTATTTTGTCATACAGTCCATTGTCTTATTCATGGCAGTTATTTTCTATAAAGTCAAAGCAAACATTGAATTAGCAAATACTAAACTATTGCTCTCAGGGGAAAGATAGGGTTAGATTCCTTTGAGCCCCTGGTTACATTTTTGTCAACTGATCAATATATAACCCTGCTTTTTGTGTGGTTCTGTTTAAAGACACCTTATTTCATATATGTTGTTAATTCATTAAAAATGAACTCACAGTCTACAACACTGTAACTTATGCCTGAACAACGCTTATCTAACACGTGTTTTCTCAGTAAGGCACATCACACACAGCCTTCTTGCACTTAGGATCACTAGACAGCATTTCAGCACTAAGCTTGGGGACCATTATAAACACTGAAATCACCAACAAAAAGCACAAAAATGTGGCACAAACACAGAACACTAAAAGGACATTTATTTACAGTATGAGAGATGAAATAAAAAGGACGGTGGGTCACTTTGTTTCACTGAGACTGGGAACATGTGCGTAGGGTGACTCAATTTTGCTGCTCTGTGCATGTCTGTGATGACCACCAAAGCACTGGGTGCACTGATTCTGGGGCTACAAATACATTTTAGCAAGTAGGTGAATTTGCAAATGCAGATTCCACAAATAATGAGAATCAACTGTATATTTAAAATAATTTGGCCCTGGCCGGTTTGGCTCAGCAGTTAGAGTGTCGGCCTGTGGTCCGGAGAGACCTGGGTTCGGTTCCCGCTAAGGGCATGTACCTTGGCTGCAGTTTGTCCCCGGCCCTGTTTGGGTCATGCGGGTGGCAGCCACTCAATGTGTCCCTTTCATGTCGATGTTTCTCTCTCTCTCTCTCTCTTTCTCTCTCTCTCTCTCTCTCTCTTCCCCTCTCTCCCTCCCACTCTATCTGAACAAAAAAATGTTCTTGGGTGAGGGTAAAAATAAATAAAATAAAATAATTTGGTTCAGATAACAACTACAAAAATATAAACATCATCAAGACTTAAAACAAATTCTCTTCAAATATCTAAAGGAAACAAATACAAAAATATTTTTAAAAACGGTAAACAGGATATAAATTAGAAATTCAACAATATTTACAACAATGAACACAATTATCTTTGAGCTAATGTCTGGGCTAGTTAAGTCAAATTTGTTTAATGTTACTTATTTCTGTAATATATTTTAGTTTGTCTCTTACACTTTAAGATATCCTAAAAAGTTCTCAGACTAATGACAAAAAGGGTTGCTTTGATGTGTTTGAGAATCCAATTGGATTTCTTGAAGTTAAGATGTCCTTTTCAAAGAAGTATTTAATCCTCCCAAATCTGTTATCTCTTATTTCTTTAGAATAAAAATAAATTATTATTAATTCTCTAACTTCTATATAGTCTTGCTCAGTTTTAAAAAGAGAAGAGACATTCTAAACAAAAGGATCCCACAGTATAACATGGGAACTATTCTGATAGACAAGTAACTTTCCTTCCAGTAAAATAGTGTAAGGAAATCTCACTAGAGTCAAACATCAGTCTGTGTTTAAGAACTGTCTAAAGTGCCATCAATAAATACAGAACAGATATGAGATAAAAATGAAAAGGGAGGTGGGAGGGAAATAGGAAAGACAGAAAAACACATGAAGGAAGAAAGGAAAAGAGATGAAGGTGGAGAAAAACGGAAAGATAAAGAAAGTAACAGAAAACCACCAAAAACTGCCTCATGAGCCACTGCCACTACATGCCTAACCTCGGACCACACTGTAATTAGTTACTATTATTCTGATGAAAGACTTAGACACAGTTCACAAAGCAAAACCACGAGGATAAAATGGCCAAGTACATACTGGATTTGTCGCTCCAAAAAATCAACTCCAATGGTTTTCTTGTAATCTTTTGTAAAAATGCCTTTGCAGTATCGCTGAATCATACTTGATTTTCCAACTGCACCATTCCCGACAACCACCATCTTGATGGCCACTTCCATATCTTCCTCCAACATTTTTGGACTTGAAAAGGTTTCTGTACCAACTTTAACTCCAGGTGATCAGATCTTTTTTCTCAAATCTGTGGTGTAAAGTGAAAATAAAACTATATTTTTGTAACATAAAAACAGTACAAAATAAAATAAGCTGTGTTTTATCAAGAAATCATTATATTAAATGGCAAGAATTTGTTTCCATGAAGAAGGCTCCCTCCCTACTCTGTTTAACTAATGTAAATTCTTTAAAGGAGGAGCAACAATATCATTCTTTCTTTTTTAAAATTTTGATGAATTTATTTTATTATTATAGATGTCCCTCCTTTGTTCCCATGACACTGTCCTCCCTGTCCCCCCCCCCCACCTTCACCACACTGTTGTCTTGTCCACTGGTTATATATATAAGTTCTTTGTTTACCACCCAACCTCCTTCCCTCTGAGGATTGTCAGTCTGTTCCCTACTTCCATGTCTCTGGATCTATTTTTTTTTTTTATCCTCACCCGAGGATATTTTTCCATTTTTTGTACAGATAGAGTGGGAGGGAGAGAGAGGAAGGGAGAGAGAGAGAGAAACATCGACGTGAAGGGACACATCGAGTGGCTGCCACCCACACGACCAACCAGGGCCGGGGACAAACCGCAACCGAAGTACGTGCCCTTAGCGGGAACCGAACCTGGGTCTCTCCGGACCGCAGGCCGACGCTCTAACCGCTGAGCCAAACTGGCCAGGGCTCTGGATCTATTTTGTTCATCAGCTTATTTTGTTCATTATATTCCACAAATAAGTGAGATCATGTGATACTTATCTTTCTCTGATTGGCTTATTTTGCTTAGCATAATACTCTCCAAGTCCTTCCATGTTGTCTCAAAGTATAAGAGATCTTTCTTTCTTTCTTACAGCTGCATAGTATTCCATTGTGTAAATGTACCACAGCTTTTTTTTACCCACTCATGTACTGATAAGACACTTGGGCTGTTTCCAGACCTTAGCTACTGTAAATAGCATTGCTATGAACATAGGGGTACATATATTCTTCCTGATTGGTGTTTCAGGCTTCTTAGGATATATTCCTAGAAGTGGAATCACTGGGTCAAATGTCAGTTTCATTTGTAATGTTTTGAGGAAGCACCATATTGTTTTCCCTATTAATTGCAACAGTCTGCATTTTCACCAGCAATGTACTAGAATACCATTTTTTTCACATCCTTGCCAGCACTTGTTGTTTGATGATTTGTTGATGGTAGCCTTTCTGCAGGTGTGAGGTGATATTTCATAGTCGTTTTAATTTGCATCTATCTGATAATTAGTGATGTTGAGCCTTTTTTTCATGTCTCTTGGTCATTTGTATATCCTCCTTAGGGAAGTGTCTATTCAGGTCCTCAGCCCATTTTTTCATTGGATTGCTTGTCTTCCTTTTGTTGAGTTGTATGAGTACTCTATATATTTTGGAAATTAACCCCTTATCCAATGTATCATTGGCAAATATGTTCTGACATACAGTGGGCTCTCTCTTCATTTTGCTGCAGTGCAGAAGCTCTTTAGTTTGATATAATCCAATTTATTAATTTTTTTCCCTCTATTTCTCTTGCCCTAGGTGATGTATCAGTGAAAATTCTGCTATGTGTGATGTCTGAAATTTTGCTGCCTACATTTTCTTCTAGGGCTTTTGTAATTTCATAAGTGACATTTAAGTCTATTACCCATTTTGAGTTTATTCTTGTGTATAGTGTAAGTTGGTGGTCTCGTTTCTTTCTTTTTTTTTTGCATGTACCTGTCCTATTTTCCCAACACCATTTATTAAAAAGACTGTCTTGCCCTGGCTGGTTTGGCTCAGGGTTAGAGCATCGGCCTGTGGAACAGAGAGACCCAGGTTTCGTTCCTGCTAAGGGCACGTACTTCAGTTGCAGTTTGTCCCCGGCCCTGGTTGGATTGTGCAGGAGGCAGCCACTCGACGTGTCCCTTTCACATCGATGGTTCTCTCTCTCTCTCTCTTCCCCTCTCTCCCTCCCACTCTATCTGAACAACAACAAAATAAAATAAAATAAAAAGACTGTCTTTACTCCATTGTATGCTCATGCCTCCTTTGTCAAACATTAATTGAGCATAATGTCTTGGGTCAGTTTCTAGGTTCACTGTTCTGTTCCATTGAGCTATAAACCTATTCTTGTGCCAGTACCAGGCTGTTTTTATTATAATGGCTTTGTTGTATAAGCTGATATCCAGAATTGTGATCCCTGCAACTATGTTCTTCTTTTTAAAGACTGCTGTGCCTATTCACATTCTTTTTGGTTCCATACAAACTTTTGGAGTATTTTTTCTACATCTGCTTTGGGTAGTATGGACATTTTAATGATGTTGATTCTTCCAATCCATGAGTGTGGTATATGCTTCCACTTTTTTATATCTTCCTCTATTTCTGTTTTCAATGTCCTGTAGGTTTCTGAGAACGGGTCTTTTACCTCCTTGGTTAAATTTTTTTTTTTTTTTATCCTCACCCGAGGATATTTTCCTTTTTTTTTTTTTTTTTGGTACAGATCGAGTGGGAGGGAGAGAGAGAGGAAGGGAGAGAGAGAGAGAGAAACATCGACGTGAAGGGACACATCGAGTGGCTGCCACCCGCATGACCAACCAGGGCCGGGGACAAACTGCAACCGAAGTATGTGCCCTTAGCGGGAACCGAACCCGGGTCTCTCCGGACCGCAGGCCGACGCTCTAACCGCTGAGCCAAACCGGCCAGGGCCCTCCTTGGTTAAATTTATTACTGGGTATCTTAATGTTTTTGTTGCAATGGTAAATTTTTTTTTTTTTTTTAGTTTCTCTTTCTGTGAGTTTATCATCGGTGTATAAAAGTGCCAATGATTTCTGGATGTTGATTTTGTATCCTGCGCTTTGCCAAATTCATTTATTAAATCTGGTAGTTTTTCGATGGAGTCTTTAGGGTTTTCTATGTACAATATCATGTCATCTTCAAATAATGACAGTTTCACTTCCTCCTTTCCAATTTGGATGCTTTTTGTTTTCTTCTTGTCTTATTGCTGTGGCTAAGACTTCCAGTACTATGTTGAATAACAGTGGTGAAAGCGAAAATCCTTGTCCTCTTCCTTTTCTTAAGAGAATGTGTTTAGTTTTTGCCCACTGAGTATGATGTTGGCTATAGGTTTGTCATATATGGTCTTTATTATGTTCAGGTATGATCCTTCTACTCCCACTTTGCTGAGAGTTTTTATCAAAAATAGGTGCTAGATTTTGTCAAATGCTTTTTCAGCATCTATTACATGATCATGTGATTTTATCTTTCATTTTGTTTATGTGGTGTATCACATTTATTGATTTGCAAATATTGTACCAGCCTTGCATCCCTGGGATAAATCCCAGCTGGTTGTGGTGAATAATATTTTTCATATATTGCTGGATCTGATTTGCTAATATTTTGTTAAGAAGTTTGGCATCTATGTTCATCAGGGATATTGACCTGTAATTTTGTTTCTTTGTAGTGTCTTTATTTGGTTTTGGAATTAGAATTATGCTGGTCTCATAAAAAGAGGTTGGAAGTCTTTCTTCCTTTTAAATTTTTTGGAATAATTAGAGGAGAATAGGTGCTATTTCTTCTTTTAATGTTTGATACAACTCCCTTGTGACACAGTGTGGACCAGGGCTTTTGTTTGCTGGGAGTTTATTGATTACTGCTTCAATTTACTTAGTTATTATTAGTCTGTTCAGGTTTTCTGACTCATCCTGGTTGAGTTTTGGAAGACTGCATGATTATAGGAATTTGTCCATTTCGCCTAGGTTGTCCAATTTGTTGGCATATAATTATTCATAGTATTTTCTTATAATCCTTTGTATTTCTGTGGTGTCAGTTGTTATTTCAACTCTTTCATTTCTGATGTTATTAATTTGGGTCCTCTTTCTTTGTTTCTTGGTCTAGCTAAAGATTCATCAATCTTGTTTATCTTTTCAAAGAACCAACTCTTGGTTTCACTGATCTTTTATATTGTTTTGTTTCAGTCTCTATGTCATTTATTTCTGCTCTGATCTTTAATTTCCTTCCTTCTTCTAACTTTGGGTTTTTCTTTTTGTTCTCTTTATAATTCTTTAAGTTGTAGGGTTAGATAGTTAATTAGAAAGTTTTCTTGTTTCTTGAGGTAGCCCTGTAATGTTATGAACTTCCCTCTCATAACACAGCTTTCACTGTGTCCCACAGATTTTGTTATTGTGTTTTATTTTCATAAGTTTCCAGAAAGTTTTTCATTTTTACCTTGATCTTCATGGTAACCCATTCATTGTTTATTTACATGCTATTTAACTTCCATGTGTTTGAATATTTTTGAGTGTTTTATTGTAATTGATTTCTAGTTTCATGCCACTGTGATCCAAAAAGATGCTTGAGCCTGGGCCAATTTGGCTCAGCAGTTAAAGCGTTGGCTTGTGGACCAAAGAGTCGTGGGTTCAATTCTGGTCAGGGGCACGTATCTCAGTTGCGGTTTATCCATGGCCCTGGTTGTGGTCATGCAGGAGGCAACCAGTCGATGTGTCTCTCTCATACTGATGTTTCTGTCTCCCTCTTTCTCTCTTTCTCTCCCCCTCCCTCCCACTTTATCTGCAGATAAACAGAAAAATATCTTCGGGTGAGAATTTAAAAAAAAAAAGATGCTTAATGTGATTTTTAATCTTCTTGAGCTTGTAGAAATTTTGTGTTCTAACATGTGGTTTCTCTCTGAGAATGTCCTGGTGCACTTGAGAAGAATGTATATTCTATAGCTTTGGGGTGAAATGTTCTGTAAAAATCAACTAAATCCATCTGATCTAGTGTGTCATTTAGGGTCTCTGTTTCCTTATTAAATTTTTGTCTAGAAGATCTATCCAGTGATGTCAGTGGGGTGTTAAAGTCCCCTACTATGATTGTATTGCTGTAGATCTCTCCCTTGAAGTTTCCCAGAAGTTTTTAAATATATTTTGGTGCTCCTATATTTGGTGCATATGTTTACCAGGATTATATCCTCTTGCTGGGTCAATCCTTTTATTATATAGTGACCTGTTTTGTCTCTTATTATGGCTTTCATTTTGAAGTCCGTTTTATCAGGTATGA